TCCACGCAACATCCACGCAGCACGCAAAGTAACTTTATCCTGATTCTAAAAATAACTCGAGACGAATTACCTATGGAATAGGGGGTGTATCGGAGATGCCTTCTCTGTCCCCTTTAACCTCTCTTGAAAGTGGGTATCAAGGCGAGTAAAACACTAAAAACCGTTCATCGCTACGATTTTTTGTTCCCTAGTTAAAATCAGTGTTCCCCCCGGAACTAAAGTTTTTCATATTTTTTTTGTAAAAGTAATGTCCTTGTCTGTTTTCAGTTTTTTTTAATTAAGCTGGTATTTTGTTAAAAAAAGACTTCTTACAGGCCTTAAAAATTTTTGCCTCCAGGACAATAATATGACAAAGTAGTTATTGGTCACGTGACCTTTTATTACGCCACAAATGTGCTTTTTATGGTTCCTGGAATAAAGGAAAATCTTTTATTCATAATTTCTACATTTAATATAACCAATGTGCAATGTCAATTGCACTACTGTTAAGACAAAAAGGCAGTCTAATTTAGGTTTATTACGGAAAGGGGGGGAAGGGGGGTCTCATTTATTGACTCTAAACTTTTCCAACTTCAAAATCTCATATCTCATCCAGTATTTGTCGCATGTACGTAATGTTTTCGGTTTTCAACTTCTCTTGACGTGCTCTATCTTAAACAGTAGAAGAATCCAAACTCTAATTTTAAGAAAAATATGACGTCATATAGTGACAAGTTCTACAAACAAGCCTTTCAAAATGATTGACATGTTGCCTTATATTAACCTACCAAGTTTCGCAAGCAGATGATCAACATTAACAAAGTTATTTTAAATCTCACCAAAAACCCAGATTTAGATGAAACATTTTGGGGGGTGGTTTGGCCCTTAACGTTGTAGATTCTGCGGGCACATTTCACGATAGAACTTCAATGGGAATGTGTTTGCCTGTGCACCGGTGTCCAGGTTGAGGATGTTCTTATGGATGTCCAGTTGCAGGCTTAAATTGACTGATACAAATGCTTCATCGCCAAGATGATCAGTCTCCTAACCTGAGCAGCCTGAGGCTCGGCTTCTGGGTGGTCCTACAAATACAGACTGAAATCGTTGTCTTTAGGCTTTTGATCTGCAGGCGTCTGCAAAATGGTTTGACTTCTTGCGGGACAGACATACTTGATCACCTGCTGGGCAGTTAGAAGGCGAACTACGAGCGCGGCCGCAGTTTCTGCTCATCCTTGTTCCTAAAGAAGGTTGATAATTTTACGGTTGGTTGCGCTGTGCTCATTTTCTCGTATTTCGGTTTAGAACTACGTGAACGGTCTCCTCACAGTTGTTGGTGCTACTGCCCGCCATGGAAGACATCTGTGCTTGAGATGTTTTGAATAATCAAGCAATCTTCACCGCTTCATCTTGTGTTAGAGAGGACCCTTTACTTATTAGTTATTCTCTGACCTTGGGCGTCTGGGTGTTTGAAATCGCAGTTTTAGGCCATCAAAGATGCAAAGATGCGTAGAAAAAAACAAGGTAAAGACAAAGGCACACTGACGAAAACCAGTCCTCTCTCGTCTCCCCAATGCCACACGTACCATGAAAGGTCTTCAGATCCTTTTAAGAGATTCATATAAAATAATACTCTAGACAAGGAAATGTACGATTTACTTACAAGGAGCGTAGCGATGACAGATTTGAAAACATCCCAGGCGGAAGCTTATTGATCTTGTTGTTCCACAAACTCCTACAGAAAGTAAATGGTATTCATAGCTTAAATTTGTGAATAATTCTACGATAGTGGATGGGCAGTAGCTACCAACATTCAAGAGAAAAACGTTAAAACTATCTTTAAACGGATAAACTTTGACAATTCGCTGCAAACGGTAAAGTTTCAAAGTCCACAAGTGTTTCGTATTATTTTCATCTAATTTACACAGATCAGATATGTAAAGATACGGTAAAACGGGGGACGAGAAATGTGCAACTTGATTTGCAACATTAATTGCTGCAAAACGAGTTCAATAACGCTGTTGCATGTTTTACCACCCAAGAATTAGACCTGTCTTGTAAAAAATGAGGTTGTTGCAGGTTGCAAAGAATTGATTAACGAGTAGTTCTACTGTTTTGCAACAAAATCTATAAAGGTTTCCCGTTTTATCGACCCTTGCAAACTTTTGCAGCAAGTTAAGTACGTCCCGTGTATGGCGTGATTCCCGTGTAAAATGATCCATTCAACAGTTAGTATTCACCCAACTGGCTTGTTGCAAGACAGATTTGAACGTGGGTGATAAAACTCGCAGCTTCACTTTCCAACTCGTTTAACAGCACGATGTTGATAAACAACCAGCATTTTTTTGTTGCCCATTTAAGGGACAACCTCTTTTCCGGCTGCGGCTTTCTTTACCCATACGACCTGAATTAGGAGGTAGGCGCTATATGCAGGACATCCTTTTTTCCCCAACCCGCGGGGGCCAAAAGAGGTCTTTGGATCCTTTGAGATCAGTAATATGAAAGGATAATGAAATATTGCTTCGTTCACTTACAGTGTTTGCAAGAAAAGGAGATTTGAAAATATCCCTGACGAGAGCGCCTTGATCTCGTTGTTTCCCAAATCTCTGTAGGTAAATAAATAACGTTACTGTGGATTAGATAAACGGAAATCGTGGGATGTTTTTACCTAGTCGTTATAGACTATCAGCTATGAAGGAATTAATCTTGGAACTCAGTAATCAGTTAAGTGGAATAATTTACTTAAGTATATACTGAAAGAGTGGATTTTGTTTTTCACGCGCTCTGATTGGCTACTCAATCAGTCAATATCCTGCACTATTCACTGATTCACCTCCAGTTCCTCAGAGCGAGTTGCTGCCGTAACAAACAGAGAAATTTCACAACTAATCAAGCAAGCTGTTCCCGAAATGCACGAGGAAGGTGACCAAGTTCGGGGTGGAAGTTTTAACAGGTAAAGCTTTGTCTTTTTGACTTGAATTTATCGATAAAGCGGGCGAAAAAGTTAAAGTCTTGCGTTACTTTATTTAGTTGACTTGTTCATAAATAAGCTTAAAACAAGCTGTTCCCGAATTGCACGAATAAGGTGACCAAATTCGGGGTGGAAGTTTTAGCAGGTAAAGCTTTGTCTTTTTGACTTGAATTTATCGATAAAGCGGGCGAAAAAGTTAAAGTCTTGCGTTACTTTATTTAGTTGACTTGTTCATAAATAAGCTTAAAACAAGCTGTTCCCGAATTGCACGAATAAGGTGACCAAATTCGGGGTGGAAGTTTTAGCAGGTAAAGCTTTGTCCTTTTGACTTGAATTTATCGATAAAGCGGGCGAAAAAGTTAAAGTCTTGCGTTACTTTATTTAGTTGACTTGTTCATAAATAAGCTAAAAAGTAAATTCAATAAATCTTTTTAGAGAATTATTTTAAATACAAAAAGAATTCAGGATTCCTTTCGAGGAAATTTCCCAGCAAGGCTAAACAAATGTCTTCAAAAGTTTTATTTGTCGGCAAGAAAAAGCGACGACCACGGCCGTTCGGTCATTGCGCGCCAAAATTGTAATCGTTGCAGGCAACGGTAAATAATTCAAAAATCATTTTTGTGCTCAATTATTTGACTGTTTTAGTATATACTAAAACAATTATTCACTTCAGTGTGGGTGGCTAGTGGTGAACATTTACCACCACTAGCCACCTCCACTTCGGTGAATAGGGACCTTAAGATCCGAGTGGGATAATTTACTGTATCCGTTGTGGTCTTGTCCTGTGTGGTGTAAGGCCATCGCCTTACCTACTGCGCTACTATACGTGTTAATTGTGTAGGTTAAGTTAATTATCTTTAACTTTTCTACCTATTAGTCCATGGGCCAATCGTGATTTTGGTACCAACTCGAAGGACAAAGGATGATTGCTGCGAATTGATAGCACATAAGGTGGAGATTGAAAATTTGTGTGATAACCTTTCTGCAGGAGTAGCTTTCGGGGTATTTTTTTCGTGTAAAAGTGCCGGAAATGACCTTTGAGATACCAACGTGGCCAACTAAATGTGCACTTAATATGTTCTCTATGTTTTGTAGTTTAATTTATTATGAGAGACGTGAGAAGTTTTTTTGTTGCGTTTTTTATCGCCAAAGTATTAACTGTTCTGAATTTAACCAAAGTAGAGCGAGGAAAACTCAACAGTAGCCTTCGAATAGCATTATGGGTAAAATCCAAAATGGCGGCTACCATGGAAGGTGAGTGGGTTCTTGATTTGCCGGGTTAATAGCCATTTTACCGTGTAAAACGCAATAATTTCGCGAAAAGTCAGCAAAATCATCTAGTTAATAAAGCGCGTAAGGTTTTTGAGGCAAAAGTTTTTGAAGTTTTGACTTAATAAGCAGAATTTAGGAAATACTTACAGATCTTGTAGAATGTTCACTTCGATAATCCGATAGAAATTGAATGTATAATTTTTGCTCATATCGATCATACACATCTTTTTATATCTTTATCAATTTTGAAATATAATCTAATTTTAGGAATCAACCTGTTGCAGTAAACATTATTTGAAATATCGGTTATTCGGTAATGAAAATTCTATATGATATGCCATTTTTAATGCATACATGCATATGGTTTCTTTAAACACGCTAAAATCATCAGTCTAAAAAAGTTAAGTGAAGTAAAAAGAATATAAAGACTACACATACCTGAATGGCTTACATGATTACCGTGTGCCGGGAATCAGAAAACTATAGAGCTAACAGGTTTATTTCCATTTTGAATTGACTTAGCGATGTTATTCTTCGTATGTTTTTTGTGGTAACTCATTCCAAATCGTGGCACCGCTATGGTGAAAAAAACTTTTGGAAGTCCAGAGTTTCGTAAATTATAATACAACGTATGTGTTGTTATGTCCCCGTCTCAGTTGCAGTTGCATTGCAACTTAAACGCTGAAAAAATATTCGTCTGATACAAATAGGGTCCTCATCTAAGAGAAGTGTTGATGATGCTGAGGAGTCAAATGCCGCAGTCAAACGATTCTGCAAGAAGAAGTGTATTATTCACTGCACCGACGATAGCAGTGATTTAGTTAATCCTAAAGACGAGGAGTCGTGGAAAACCTTGCTAAGAGCAGCACAGATTCGAAATCATCAAGAAATCGTAGAACTTTCGAAGTCTTTAAGCGAAGGAGAAGTCCCGCTCATTTACTACCATCGAAAGTGTCGAAGCATTTTTACAATGAAACAGTTATTAGATAAATTATCCCAGCAATCATCCAATAGCCAGACTCAACCGGAAAAAGTGGCTAAGAGAGTCTCTATTCGAGGATCTTCCAATATTTCCACAACATACGAACGCATTTGTATTTTTTGTGAAAAGCCAAAACATTTTAAGGGTACAAGGAATCGTGAGCCTTTAGTACAATGCCGAGATATGCGTGCAGATAGCTCTATCAGAAAGATAGCTACACAAAAGAATGACAGCAAGATTCTTGCCCTTGTGTCGCGCGAATTAGTTGCAGCAGAGGCTTGTTATCACAGGACATGCTACAGGAGTTACACTAGACCAGAAGCAAGCAGCAGTGTGAACCCTGATATGAGCAGTGAATCTCCGGATGATGAATATGCCCGTCTAGAGTCTGATGCTTACCAGATGCTTTTTGACTTCATCAGGTCAGATGTGATAGAAAACGAGAAAGTCGTGAGGCTGTCTGAGATGACGCAGTTACTTGTACAGTATCTAATGTCATTAGAAGCTAAGGAATGTAAGCCATCAACAAAGAAGCATATCAAAAGGAACATAGAAGCAGAATTCAATGAGTTGATCAAGTTTGAAAACTTGCTAGACAACAACCGTGTATTCCTAATCCCTGCTAACCTAACACCAGTGCAAATCGCCAGAAATGTACTGAATATCCTTATGGCAGAAAAAGAAGACAAAGGCTCAACAACAAAGATCTCAAATATTCAGAAAGCTGCAGCTGACATCCGCGATGCCATTCGAAACGAAGAAAGTAGAATGTCATGGCCACTGCGCCCTTCAGAGCTCAATGACAGCGCCATAGAGGTCCTTGAAGAGCTAAGTGTGTTTTTGTATACCTTGCTAACTGGCAACAAAGATTCGTCAGAGGGAGAATGTTGTCAAAGAGTCCAGCGGTTTATGAAGTCGTTCGCGCAAGACCTAGTATTTGGAGTAACCAGAGGGAGGATTAAGCCGCCTAAACAAATTCTTCTCTCGTATGCTGTAAAAACTCTCACAAACAATGTTGAGCTAGTGTCTATACTAAACCGTTCTGGTCATGGTATTTCTTATTCCCAGCTTGAAGAAATTAACACTGCTCTTTGTATGCAGAAAATGGCAACAACAACAAGTGAAATTCCTCTACCTGCCAATATACAACCTCATGTTAGTACCACATTAGCATGGGATAATATTGACCGACTCGAAGAGACTCTTTCAGGTGAAGGCACTTCACACCGTCTAAACGGCATAGCAGTACAGGCGAGACATTTTGGCCCCCATCCCCTCACTGAGCAGCCACCTGGGATCAGTAAAAGTAAGCAAAGGAAGAGCATATGTTGAAGTAAACGACGAGGAAGCGTTAGAAAATGCCCGAAGAAAAAACCTTTTGTGGGTTTTAGTGCGCCTACATGCACAGATGAACCAGAAAGTTAGTGGATGGACTGGCTATAACATTTTGGTGCGCAACGAAATTGAGGCTCGTCAAGACAATATCGGATACCTTCCCACCATTGATGCACCTGCCACTAGCATGTCAACTGTTCATGAGATTTTGGTCCGCTCCGAGAAGATAAGAGAAGCTCTTGAACTGAAGAGCGTAGTACTCGTATTTGATCAAGCTCTGTATGCCAAGGCAACAGAGATAGCTTGGAAACATCCAGACAAGTTTTCAGATATTGTTATTCGGATGAGTGTCTTCCCTACAGTGTGCACACTTCTTTCCATAATCGGGAAGAGATTCCAAGACCCTGGTTTAAGGGACGTTTGCATTGAATCAGGGGTAATTGCTGAAGGTTCTGTGACAGGAGTTCTTGAAGGACGTAGATACAACCGTGCTGTCAGGTTTCATAAACTGATGTATGAAGCACTCCAAAGACTTATCTGGAAAGGATTTCAGACGTGGGTAGAAGTAAAGTTCACCGAGAAGAAACCGTTTATCCAAGATTTCTTTGTCGGATTGAAACCGTTATACGACAACCTGTGCCAAAAGGAACAACAGAGGGTCTTGGATAGTCAAAGTTTCCCAGAGTTTATCACACTGTACGATATGTACCTTGACTATCTACGCAATAACAACGGGAAACTATCTAGTTTCTGGATGTCATACATTGATCTCGTTGACATTCTGCTGAATATGGTGAGAGCATCAAGAGAAGGACATTGGGAGCTACATTTATCAGCCATTGAACAAATGATACCATGGTGCTTTGCCTATGATAACGTAAATTATGCCCGCTATTTACCTGCATACCTGTCTGAGATGATCCACCTCGAAGAGACCCATCCTGAGGCTCATGAATTTCTTAAGTCTGGTGGATTCTCTGTCCAGATCGGCGACCAAAACCCCTTTGGTAGGGTTCCAGTTGATCAAACATGCGAGGAGACGGTCAATAAGGACACCCAGACAGCCGGGGGCACCAAAGGCTTCAGTCTTAAAGCAGGAGCAATTAGCAAGTATTATATAGTGTCTGAATATCGCAGTATTTTTTTGAAGCAGCTGAGGGACATGCTAAATCTAAGCAAATCCAATTCTGGGCATACTGATCTTCAAAAAACAAGAATTGTAAGAGACGAGGCTGACGTGAAGTCGCTGATTGCTATGCTAGAAAGCAACTGGATAAACCCATTCAGTGCTGAACAGCAGGATCTGGTATGCTTGTCAACCGGAAAGGTTGCCACCCAAAAGATAGAGGAAGACTTGTTGGGCGCAAAAGCTGTTGGGGAAAAGGCATACAAAGAATTTCGTGCACAGCGATTGGAGGCAAATCCACCAGTCAAATTTCACGCGACCCTGAAGAAATCAAAGCTGAAGACATTCTCTGATCTTAACAAGAAGGTGAAATTCAAGAGCAAAACAGCAAACGAGATCATCCTAAAAGCTGATAGAGCTCTTTTTGGTCAAATGGTTATAATTGCAGAAAACAGACAACTTCACATGAGAGATGTCCTCTGTCATCCGTTGGGACCTCTTCCTTGGGCACTATCCACAGTAGATGGGTCACTACGGAAAACCAGCAAAGCAGCACTAGCAAAGGAGCTGCAAAAGAATGTACCTGCTGCGAAGGAAATTCCTCAGCCATCTGCATGCATCATAGATGGCATGGTACTAGTGCAACGGTTGAAAGGTGACCATAAGAAGTTTTCAGATGTTGCTGACTCCTTGTTTGGAATGGTTCTACATGAGGGTGCATCCTCGAAGAGAATTGACGTTGTCTTCGATGTGTATAGAGAGAATTCAATTAACAATACAGAAAGAGAGCATCGAGGAGCTGAGTATGGAAATGAATTTAGAAATCTCCAACCCGACCATAAGGTGCAGCAGTGGAGAAAGTTCCTCCTGAATCCGCAGAATAAGAAAGCCTTAACAATATTTGTGACCAAAGAATGGAAACAAGAAAAGTATAGAAGAAAGCTCACAGACAAGGTCCTATTTGTAGCCTGTGAAGAAGAGTGTCACCAAATCTCCCCAGAGGCTGCCTTTACCGTTGAAGAACTTAGCTCAACACAGGAAGAAGCTGATACAAGGATTCTTCTTCATCTCTCTCATGCAGCCAGATCAGATTACAGCACATTGATTGTGGCATCAGAAGATACAGATGACTTCATTCTTTGTGTGTCATTCAAGCACTTAATTCCGTCATCAATATTTTTTAAGTGTGGAACACAAACAAGAGTTAGATACATCAGCATCACGAGTATAGTGCAAGCCCTTGGTCAAAATTTGTGCAGCAGTCTCCTTGGCATGCACGCTTATACTGGTTGCGACACCGTGAGTGCTTTTGCTGGGCGGGGTAAGATTGGTGCACTTCGAATCGTTAAAGAACAGAGATCCTTTCAGGAAATGTTTGACCTCTTAGGAGTGGAATGGGAACTCTCAGATGGCCTATTTCAGATGCTTCAGAATTTCACCTGTCGTATGTACAGTTCCCGCCCAGGAACAAACAGCATCAATGAGCTAAGATATAGATTGTTCTGTTGAAAGAGAGGTAACATCGAGTCCGACCAACTACCACCTTGCGCTGATTGCCTGTATAAACATGCGTGTCGAGCAAACTATCAAACAGTGATCTGGAGGCGAAGTCTTGAGAACTTCCCTGAAATTCCGAGTCCCTTAAGACATGGCTGGATTCAGAATGAGAGCAAGTTAGGGATTGATTGGATGAGTGGTCAGCCAGCTCCTGCAACAGTTTTAGAGCTACTCTCTTGTTCTTGCACAAGATCTTGTAGGCTCCCGAACTGCAGCTGCCTTGCGAATGGTCTTAAGTGCACAGACATGTGTAGCCTGTTCCAAGCGTTCAGATAGTGGAGAGCGGTGCGAAGTAAAGATAGCGATGAAAAGTAGAGGGGGACTGGGGAGAGAGGTGCGGGAACGCTTGTAAGAATTCTTAACAAAAGTGCGTTCCGGTATACCAGATCCTGGTATACCCTCTGATTGGTTGATTTTGACAGTTTTTGTCAACAGTGGAGCGTCTTCGATCACAGCGAGAAATGCGATATGGCCGTTATGACAGACTCTACGTGCCGTCACGCAGAATTCAAACTCGCAACAAACACAGCGCTGAGTGACTTTCCAAACGTCGAGGCTAAAAGCGAAGAGCAAAGAAACTGTTTAAAACACGTAGTCGGTAGGATAGATGTCTTAGCAATTTCTCACCGACTGGCTTTGGAAAAATTCTTATTTTCCAGTTTTTTCCTCGAATAAAGCGTGCGTTGGAATGAAGGCAGGATAGAATGCCATTTACGATTGTTGTGGTAACTCCGTTGATTACCATCATGGACCAAGTGGAATATTTGAACAAGTCAGATCGGAGTAGCGGCGGCAATGATGGGAGAAGATATGGATGAAGCCGTTAAAAGTGGAAGCTGTGAAATTGTTTACTGAAGTGCCAAATCGTGGTTGTCTAATGAATGGACAAAAGGACTTCAAAAAGAAAAGCTTGGAAAGCAAGTTGCCGCTATCGCTATTGACGAGGTCCACTCAATCACCGAATAGTAAATTTTCCCTTCAATTGTTGTGCATTTTCATTGCTTGAGTTAACGATCTGTATTGAAACGGCTTTCTATCGAAATGAGCGATATTTGTTTGTCACTTGATTCATAATTTTTTGTCACGTACACGCTGAAATCATGTTTTTAAAGCCGTAAATAAATTCATTATACATGAATACTTCTCCCGCCTTCTATTGTCTGAAAGTCTTACATTGGGTTTTTAGTAAGATTATGTAGACATAATATTAATTTTTGATCTGACAAACTTCGATTTATTCGCAAGAAAAATAATAAATGCATCGGGCTGTAACACCAGTCTTGATTGACAAGTGAAGACCACCTACAGCTGATGCGGTCTGACTGGGCGGAAGAGTCTATTTAAAACAAATCTAACAGGCGTTCCCTCTCTCACCTCTCCTCCTCCCTCGCTTTTACTTTTTCGCGCTCCCTTTTACTTTGCACCGCTCCCCACTATCTGAACGCCTGGAACAGGCTAAGACATGTGCCGCCTCTCCGAGTGTGAAAACAGGCGAGAAGAACAATCTGTCACAGTAGACGTCGATGCTGATGATGACGAGAGTGACGAGGACTAGAATATGTGGTCTGATTCTGTTTCTCAGCATATTTCCCTTGGCTGTCGACATGATTTATTGCCCACAGAAAGATACAGTCATTACTAGTCGTTGCTACATTTAAACATATGACTTGCTAAATGTGCACCCAAAATGCATAAAAACAAATGGTCACTGTAAGCGGAATAATAACGTTTTGCATGTCACCCTCGGACGTCCAAAAAGTATGGCTTCGCAGAAAAACCACAATTAATGCTTTTGCCGGAAGAGTTTGCAACTATGGATTTTTAGTCTATAGTTTTGAGAGCAGCTTCTTTCACAGCTTGAATTATGAGGATTTTGCATGTTCCTTCCAGTTTTGATCGTTTTAGGGCACTTCAGGGGGTAAAATTGGCATGTTTGAAAATCAAAGATGACGGATCCAATATGGCCGCCACAAAGGTAATGTCATAGTATAGCAGCCTCATACGTAGTTATAACACCTGAGTCAAACTAGTATCCAGTTGTCATCTACAACTATAATTTAACAGTTTTTTCAAACAATTCATCCGTATTACTTTAGTTAATATCGACCCACTGGTTCAAAGGGCTACTTTTCTACGTTACCATGGCAACAAACACCAGAATTCATCTAATTTTGCTACAAAAGCCTCGAAAATCACTTGCAAAACAGTGGTACCATTCAATCATCTAAACGTGTCCCCAAAAAATGGGTAAAAACATAAGGAAAAACTTCTGTATGTACATTTATTTGACGTTATAGAAAGCCGAGTGACGTCATTTCATCACGTGATTAAAACCTATAAAACTACTCATTTGACGTGGTTATCATACATTAAAATAAACTAGAGGAGTCGTAGTTTTTAAAAATATTAGACTGCGAGCAGTCTCTCTTTCTCTTCAGATTTAGTGAGAGCAATGCACGCGCGCGGGAGCGGCGAAGCTGCGAGACGCGCGAAACGAGGGCGGCAGCCCGAGAAGAAAAAAGAGAGACTGCCCGCTTAGCCAGAGCCAATGAATTAAGCGTTGGCCTCACAACGCAAAATACGATTGGCTGATTTGTGAAGCGTTGACAACAAACTGTCAACAATCGAAAACATTGACAAGTTGATGATGGCTGAAGCACTGCAAGAAAGTTTGTCACGTTTCTCGAAAAAAAAAAAACATTAGATACGGAGCAAAGAGAAACATAAGAAGGTCTCATCTCTCCGGGTACGTGACGTGTCGCGCAATTTAAAGGCTCAAAGCCTCTCTTCACTGTCAAGGAACGCTTTAGTTCCAAAACGGTAGTCTTACTTTAGAACTTAAAACAGAAAGAAGCAAAGACTGAAGACTCTTAGACTGTTTATTTTTGTAAAGCTTAAACAATAGTAATTACCAACGGATGCACTACAGGACATTGCGCTATAGAACAAAGATTCTCAAGAAAGAAAGAAAAAAAACAAAAAAACAAATCGGCGCCCAAAGAATGATCTTAAGTGACTTGCAGCGATGGCTTAGCTTTAGTTAAGCTACAATTAGGATATGTAGAACACTGTCCCGTGAAAATTCAACATCCTGCAAGCAAGAACTAGGCCACGGGTCTCTCATTCAAAACGTAACGCACAGGAAATGAATTGTTAATATAGGAGAAATAGACCAGCTTCATGACCTCTAAATGTGAGACCAGCGGCCAAAATTAAGATTTGCCCAGTCAATTAGCTTAGAATCGACTTTAACTCTATGCACTGCATAAGCTGCGCTTTAAAAAGAAAAGTAGAAAAACCTCTGTTGTTCAAGCAAACTCTAAAGTCACGTTTCACGTGCCTGGCCTGTCAACACTTCAGTTTTGACGCCAAAAAATCACTAGACTGTGAAAGACCATTCTCTCTGGCTTTGCGGGTAGTCTCTCTTTTTTCTTGCCTCTCCCATCTCGCGCTATCAGTCACCCGCGTGGCCATTTGCGTGTCTCGCGTTTTGCTCGACGGACTACAGAAAAAAGAGAGACTGCTCGTAGTCTAAAAAATATAAGCCACTCTTTGTCCCTCTTTTTGGTACCAAATCATCAAATTTGAGGTCCTGGCCCATGGACTATTAGTGGTACAAGGGAGATTCGGGAATAGTGCTTCTCCCGGGGGGGGGGACTCCGCATATATCAAGCTGGCACGGATGCTCGTCGTCTCGCTTAGGGCTGTAAATTTCGGATTTTGGTCTCACTTAGGGTGTTCTGGGAAAAACGCCATCATATTTAGCCTTGAAGGTCTCGTTTAGGGTTGCACGCGAAAAAATATAAAAACATATATTTGATATGTATATTTTTAATTCGTTTTATTTACTCCATTCATATAATCCAAGTTTTCTATAACATCAATACCTAAAGAAGACGTCTTTGTCCATTGTTTTACAGGAGTGTGATACGAAACTCGGCTGCTGACAAAAAAGGATTAATTGATCACGGTTAAAAATATTCACAAGCGTGTTATTTTATTCTTGCCCTAATACCGAGTTTTAATAGTTCTTCCTTTAATTCGCTTCGAGCTGCTTCCATTTCAGCCATCAGAGTATTTAACGTATGATGTATATATTGTTTAATGATATTTTGCAGTTACAGTTCTTTTTAACATTTTCAAGTTTGCTATTTCACAAAGATGCAAGAAGCGAGTATGGTGGACTGACGATTTATTGCGATGCTTTTAAAAACTACATATGGGTAAAAGTGTTTGATGATAATGTCTTTGCCATTATTAAAATTCATAGTTTTTTTCATTTGTCTGTGTTTTAACATGGTCTCTTTTAGGGGTCAAAAACGCTTGGGCCACGCCCAGATCGGTCTCGTTTACGGGTTTTATTCAAAATTTCCGACGAGCATCCGAACCACCTTCATATGCGGAGTTCCCCGGTGCTTTCAGCGTGACTCATATTGTGTAGACAT